TCTGCCCCTGCATGACAGCCAAGAGACATTATCCAACATAATCATCTGGGCTAACAGGATGACCTCAGCCCAAGAGGGATTCAGCTTGGGATCTGAGTGTCTGCGTTTGTCAGTCAAGGGTTTGGAAGAAAGAGTTCCTTTGTGGTGTATTTCTGACCGACCTTTTGCGAAGCTCTGTACTTGTTCACAACCAGGCTTGACCAGGATCTTCTGCCGGGCCGGGTGCCTTTTGAGTGCCAAGCCATGGCTCAACCAGCACGCTGCCTGTCCCTTCACAGAGCTTCCAAGTGCAAACCGGGATGAATTCGCCACCAGGGTCCCAGGGTCCCTTCCGTGAAGCAGAAACTTCTCCATAAGCATGGCCAATACCATACTCACATAGACCCATAGTTGGGCCTTCCGTGTTTAATGAATCCTCAAGAGGAGAGGCTTTCGCGAACGCCAGTCCCCTCTTCAGCCCTCGGGGGCACTAAAGCCGGCGAACAAAGGGTACATCTTTCATCGTCTTTCTATACGTAGAACCCGGACATGACCCAGGAAGGATAGGAAGTTGGGCCACATTTTCCAGGTGGTTGGTAGTCCCAAATAAGCGGTCACAAAATATCACACAAAGCTTCCAAGTCGATAGCCAACACGTCGATCGATCGATCGATCGATCGCTTCATGTCGCAAAGGGGCGGGGAGGAGGACGTTGGAGATGGTGTAGATGATCTTCACGAAGATCAAGCCGACCTGAGTCCGTTACCGACCTCATCCACCTAACTACGACCCACCCGGGTCAGCACCGCCGGGAAGTAGGCTTCTCCACAGCTCGAACACCTTCCTTCCCCGGCGCAGCCCAGACCGCCCGAAGGATCAGGAAGGTCCAAAGGAGCGGCGTAGTGAAGGAGTCCATTTTTTGCAGATCATGGACTCAAGCTGAACTGGAAAACTGGACTGTGTGGGTGACCTCCTTTGAGCTAGAGTTCCTGCTCGAAGCCCGTACAAATCACCATGTGAGTCTATAGGGGTATCTAGACTCCTTCGCAATGGACGAAACAGGACGAAAACAACGGAAACGGCCGAATTGTCAACAGCCTTACCCTAGAAGTCCAAAGACTATTTTTTGACTGGCTGGAGTAAAGGAAGTTCCCTTTCAGGTCCCCTAAAGACCATTTGTTTAATAGTCTTTGACAGCCTTATAGCTTAGACAGGCACTGGTCTTCCGCCCTTCGAAGTTCCTTTGAACCATTGCCCAACCACCGACAGCCCTGGTTCGACCCACCAGGCTCGGCCGGAAGCGGCTGGGGCGTCCAGCCGCCCACCACAACCAGCCCAACAGATTCCTCCGCACGTGCCTCGGCAAGTCGGGGCGGCGCACCCGGTGGTTTCCGATGCAGAACCGAGTGCAAGTGGCGTGCTGGGACGATCACCTGCCCCACCTGCCCCACCTGCCACCTGCGCTGGCGCGTCTCTCGCGCCAGCACGGAAGCTCACCCACGACTTCCTTGTCTCACCAACGACGACTGAGGGGGACCGAGCTCGGACTCACCAGGGTCGCGCCACGCGGCAACACGTGGACCATGCACGTGAAGGCTCTAAAAGGCTGACCCGGCCTTCTTGCATAGCGAAGGTATTCGCGGTGCCATCCACTTCCACCATGATGAGTTCAGGGAAATACCAACCTTGAAGGCCAACTTACTTTGGTCCTTCCCTTCCCTTCCCTTCCCTTCCTTTCTTCCTTCACCGCCACAAAGTTCACCCAACCGCAACCCGCAAAGACCTGTCTCGCTTTCGCAGCCCAAAAAAGCTGCCGGGGAAAAAGAAAAACACTGTTCCTAGTAGTAATGCACTTGTTCCAAGGACGCCCATCGGCCCAGGCACCAGGACTGGGTGCTGCGATGGCTGCGGGCGCTGCGGCTCGTTCGCGCGCTGTGCACCTCGGCCGCGACCGGAGGTCCTCGGTTTCGGCCTGGAAAACTGTGGAAAAGCCCATGGAACGTCTGATCTTCTCAAGGTGAGCCCTGGAAGAAGAATCATTCCTCCTTTTTCCTCCAATTCCATGAGTTGAACCTCTCAGAAGGAGCCCATCTAAAACCCTCAAACCTGAAAACCATCCTCGCCCTCCTCGTCAATGCCCCTCCAAAACCGTCCTCGCACCATTCGTCCCCCCCCGAGGGCCGAGGCACAGAGGGCGCCGTCGCCATGGGTGTCGCCGATGGGCCGCGGCACGAGGGTCGCTGGAGAGTTCTCTTCTCTTCGTGGCTTCGAAACCCCAGTGCCCACCAGCTGGGCACATATTGGTTGATATGTGTTGGTCGTTCCAAGTTCTGGCATGGCCCTTGATTTCATCCGGCCAAACGGCCAAACGCGCCGTGGTTCTGTTGGGTTTTCCAACGTTGATCGCTTTCGGATCGTGCTGCTGTGATGCGGTGGTGAATCGGTGGCAGAAGCCGGGCCGCCCCACGACACGTCGAACGGCACCGGGTTCCGGTCGGATGCGAGAGGTCTCCCCCCATGAGAGGTCGGTCATATCATCTTGATTCCCATCAACTGGGGGTCAAACCAAGTTGCACCAATTCATGTTGCTGGGCTTTCATGGACACACCACCGCCATCTGGCCTTGATGGATGGCGTTCAGAGCGCCAGTCCCAGCGCCGGTCCGAGCCCCAAAAAAACGCAGCGGAAGCGGGCGAAGGTGGGCACCCGCCCTTTGAGAGCTTCCCAAGGGTTAAACGAACCATGGGCCATCTCCGAACGTGAGGAACCAACGCGAGGAACCTGACTTTCGTGCATGAAAAGCTGGTTTGGGGATGTTTTGGGAGGAACAATGCCTTCAATCATGTTCTAACCAGATAGTTGCTACGCCTTGTCGCAGATCTGCTTGCCCCCATGCGAAGCTCAAGTGATAAAGGCAGTAGTCGAAACTGCAAGGAAACCTGCGGTACCAGTTTGTGTCAAGGTGTCGAGTTGAACCTTTCGAAAGCTTTGAGGAAGGTCTTGGGAAATGAGGAGGTGGATTTTTGCAGGCCTCATGGTGCCAAACTCAAGCAATTGCACGCGTCTTCCACGTCTTTGGGAGATGAGCTGTGTGAAGAAGGGGCCACCCAAAGACGCCCACCACTTGTTTGAGACAAAGGTATTTTTACGTGCCTCATGCATCATGTCGTCATGCATCATGCCCATGCACGTCGATCGGTGGCCCGATCGATTTGGAGTCGATTCATCCAATCCTTCAGCGGTGGGCTGTTGCTGCCGGGCCCGCCTCACCGCACAGCTGTTCTAAGGACTTGGGACCAAACCAGCTCAAGCGAGCGGACGGCCAAGGAATATGGAGAGTGGAGTGTGTTTTCTGCCTCGTCCTTGGGATGTCCTTAGGCAAACAATCGGTGCTTCGTTGGGCAGCCGTTTGGAGCTTTTGAAGCTCCTTGGTATAAGTCTAGCTGCTTCTATAAAAGGATCTTTCTTTGCGTGGTCAATGTCAAACAGAACAGCCGACTCCTCCCCAACCCTCTCCTCACTCTCCACGCGCTCTCCTCGCCCCCCCCGTTCCGCGCCTCCACGCGCAGTTCCGCTGCTTCCGCCGCTCCGCGCTCCATGACGCGGAACTCCAAAGAGTCGACCGTAGATGCCGCGGTCACGGCCCCAGTAGATGGCGCGGCAGAAGGATTTGGTGGGGTCCCTTGTACTGCGGGGAGGGGGGAAGGATTTGGCTTCTGAAGGATCCGGAAGGTGGAGGGATTTAGAGGTGGTGGCTGTGTGCGTGTGCGGCTTCAGTGAGTACTAGCAAGATTGCAAATTGATTGTCATTGCCCTGATGGCCCTAACCTAGCTGCCGCTCAAACCACTGGGGGTCCAAAAAGAAAAGGCACCCTGTGAAATAGGAATGAAACTCTGATCATCTTGGCTAAAAAGCTCAAACAAACGGATGAGCATGCCAAGTAGCTCCTCAGCCAGCATAGCTACTTGCATCTCTTCCAGCTGGTCTCTACAGCTTTGAGCCGGCTGAAGAAGCCGCACGAAACGAAGGGTCCGGATTTGGATCCGAAGCATGTCGATCCTGTCGTCGAAAACCGCCACCGGATCACTTTGTGGTGGATGGAGAGTAGATGGCACAAGTCTCCAACGTTCGGTGGTGGATGTTCTCACCCCCCAGGTGAAAGAATGGCAAAGACCTCCCCTGGGCTGCCAGTGCCATCGAAGCTCTGAATTCCGCCGTAATTACTAAGAATCCAACCGTCCGACACCCTTCCAGTGGTGTGATCTTCCGTCCGCAACGGATGGAATCGTCCGGGCGAGCTGCGGCAAACTATATATATATATATACTCCCAGGATCTGAACACGTGGTAATCCTCTGATAGCCTGGCATTCAACCCGTTGCTGTGTGGTAGACATGTGTTCCAGCGAACCTCACTGACAGATCACTGACGCGTCTTGCTAGCTCTAACCGGGTTTCTAACTGGACCATGGAACCGGTGACCTTTGGCTGTATACGTTTGGCCCTGTATAGTTTGACCTTATGGGTGTTGCATACAGCCGAATCACGCCCTATTCAGTTTGCCTATCCAAAAACATGCTAGAGCGAGTCGCTGAGTCACAAATAACTGCAGGACCATCCAAACAATCCTTCTCTCCAAACCACGCTCTGCACTGCGGAGTACGCGAGCACCGCCTAAAGAAGACATGCCGTAGACCAACAAAAGGGAGACCTGGTGGAGCGTAAGTGTGCCCCTAAACCACTGAACGGCGGGACCTTTTCCAAGACTCCTGGAACTGGGTGACCCGCTTCGCCCAAAACTTCTACCTTCGCCCAGTTCGACAAACCATCCGGCCATCCGGCCATCCGCTCCCGTAGAAAGTGGAACGTTTGGGAGGTGCTCTTCGATGCCTCTGAGTCTGCCCATTCCGTCCAAACACCCCCAACCAATTGGCCCCAACGAAATTCCACTAAGGCCCCTCCCTCCTTCCCATGGCCCCCATCCCTCCACCCGCGCTTTGCCCTGCAGCATGGTGGGCGCACCCCTTGGGCCTCTTCTAAGGTCGCGGCCACCTGATCCAGACGGTTCTGCCAGAGTTCGAAAGAGAACTTAAATCGACAGTCAAACATGAATCCGATATGATACCTATTACGGGTTCAACAGGAATATTAAGGACCCGGATTTGGTTTAAGGAACGATGAAATGATTCGGAATGAGCCCTAAACCCTTAGTCCATTCTCTGTGTGTGCACTTGCCAACTCAAAAAGCTATGACTGTTGTGACCCGCCGCTTCTTGGCCAGAAAGACATCGTCAGATACCCCACCCCCAGTCGGAGGAGTGGCGCAAAACGGTGGATGCCGCCGTTACGCTATTCTCTCACTAAAGAACCAGCCTCATCGGCCAAAATCTTGGAGGCGACGTTTTCCAGCTAGAAGAGATTGAAACATCACCGCTTCATACCGTCTTCTCAAAGCACCTCCAGCACCTCCAACACCGCTAGTGACAATTGGAGCAGATTCTCCGGGTCAAATGGAACAGATCGATCGCGTTCCTCGCATTCGCCACATGCGACTCCCAACAGCGAATCACCCACAACTTGCGTGCAGAAAAAGAAAACACGTGTGTTTGTGCATGGTTGTACAACCAACTTGAGATCAATCGGCCCTCGAACCCAAAGAAACCTGCATCCTCCCTCCCCCCATCCAAAACAAAAAGATCCAACTACAATCACCATCACGTTGCACCTGTTCCACCTTCAACCCCCACCTCCCTCACCTGAGCCTCACAAAGGAGCCTCTCCCGGCCTCAGTAGCACAGTCGAAGATCTCCAGCGGCGGTTGGGAGGCGGGAATCTCTTCGACCTCCTCTGGCTCTGTGGCCTCGTCCGTCAACGGCACCTGTCACAGGCTCTAAAGAGGGCTCTGTCTGTTGGGGAGTGGGCATCAGGAGAGATGGGAGGGGCCGGGTCATGGAGTCATTCAGAAGCAATCACCCACCAAAAGATAAAAAGAGTTGAAATCGTTCAAGATCTTCCTCAAAGTTTTGGAAGAAAGCTTCGCAGCTTCTCTTGTTGCGCCTTCCACTGCCCTTTGGTCTCCATGAAGTCCCGCAGGGCGGCGGAGTTCAGCGTGGCGCCTGCGCTCTTCGGGCGAGGCCCCAAGCCGCCGGTTTGGTGAAAAAGGGCGATGCGATGCGGCTTCAATTGACAAATCTTCGAAGCGGCTTGAACATCTTTCTGCATCATTTTCCTAACAGACACGAGTCTTCCAAAAAGGTGGCACAAACACCAGTTGGGGTTCTCCAAGCGGACTTGTATGGGACTTGGGACGTTCCTTTTCACCACAGTTCTGGCCATTCCAAGGGATGATCCAGGACCCGGTCGAAACCGCCCAGACCTCGAGTCGAAAGCTGAAGAGTTCGAATCGAGTCGATCAGTTTTTTGCTTCTGCTTTGGATGTCACCAAATCAAAAATGCAAAGTTGCGTTGCTTTGGGACTTAATGTTTAATAGGATTAATTCGGTCGTACTCATCGCTCCCGGATTTCTGAGATATCAAATCCCATGTCCCTCTGACCTACGTGATTTCTTTGTCGCTTTGGACCTTCTCCTTCGCTGAAAACACTGAAGCGAAGATCGTCGCTCCCATCCCTCCCTCCATCCAGCCATCCATCCAGCCATCCAGCCATCCAGCCAGCCATCCCATTCCGTTTCCAGGTCCACGCTCCAGTCCGTCTCGCCTACCGCATGCAAGTTCGCCAGGCCGGTCGGCTCGGGGAGCGCGGTGAGTGGGGCCCTTAGGCGGAAGAAAAAAGGATCCGGGCCCTTCAACGGAGACAACGCACGTCTCGAGTTCTTGAGCCTTGAGAAAGTGGAACGGCTTTGATATCTCCAACAAGATCTCCAACCAAAGATAGAGCTCTAGACTCTTGAGTTCTGGAGTCCAAAAAAACGTGGAAGATGTCATTCTTGACCGTGTAAAGGATTTCTTTTTCGGCCTGACTGTAAAGGATGGCTTACAGCCAACAAGAGTGAGGAGACACCCATCCGGTTCCTCCCTTCTCCAGCATGCCTCTAAGTCAGCTTCATGCCGTCGGCCGGCAAATAAGTGAGCGAGACCAACTCAAGAAGTCAAAATGGATCTGAAGTAGGGTCAACATATCACATCTGAATACAAGTCTCCCAGCCTCCGAAAAGGAGACTCCGTCCCACATGTTACCTCAAATCCCCAATCTCAAATCCTCATCACCCAACCGCTCAAACTACTTCTAAACCCCTCTATCCCAAATTATACAAGCATAGAACAGCTTCAAAGCGATTCGTTTAGACCAATATTAGTCAAAAATCGATTTCTTGGTCGCCCTACCTTCACCCCAAGAGCAAACTGCTTCATCAATGAATTTTTGTCGGCATTGACATTGCTATTTGTTCGGCCACACTCCTCTCCAGTAAACCGGGCCATAGAGACCAGCCACAGAGTTCAGGGGCGCGGCCAGTGAGTGTGGCCAGCTCTTTTTTTCTAAGATAGAACCCCAACAGTAAACTGTTTGGGGAACAAAAGAGATACATCACCTCAAAACACATGATTACAAATATGTTTTCTCTCACAAAAAGAGAAACGCTCGACCCCTCGCCCACAATGTATGTCACGTTGATGTCTACGTCTTCCCCACGACCCGTCCAACGACCTCGTTCGTCACACCCGACCGACCGACCGACCGACCGACCGAGACTTCCACCCATCTGCGGCCCAGGTGCGGTTCCTCCGCGCAGAGCTGCAGGCTGGGCAGCGACATCACCTGCACGTACGACCGACGGGCCATGACCGTACGACCGAACGGCCACGGGCCATGAACCTGGAGATGGGCCCCCCCCCCCAAAAGAGAGAGGTTCCAATATGAGCTCCAAAGAGAGGTCCAAGCTTGGTAAAGGTAGAGCTTATGAACTCCGATACCACGCAGGTAGGTTTCGGGCAAGGTGGTCTCTAGGGCGGAGGTGTTGGAAAAAAGAGGAGTTTTCATGGGTGTTGTTCCGTTCGATCGGAAGTTTGCCTGGGCTTGTTGGGAGGGGAAATGGATATCGATCGCATCTTGCAACTCTGAAGAGACGTGGCCCACATTCATATTTGCGACCCACATCCATATGTTTACTCAGAAAGTGTGATGAGCCATCGCACAAGATGCAAAGTTCCAACGAAGGGAACACAAATGAACAAAAGTTTTAAGGTCAGGGCCCAATTCAAATCCCTCTATATACAATGACCTACCTGGTCCACAAGTGAGGGCCTGCTGTGACTTGCTGAATGTTTCTCTCTGAGAAGTTCCTCTCCACCTTCTCCTTTGCCCTCTTCGACCCTCGGTTTCGCGCTTACTTCGCTTTCACAAACGAAAGGCAATCGTCTCAGTTTTGGAGGCCCAAAAGATTGGCTCGCCCTCCCACCGCCCGTTCGACCGCGGTCGAACGAGCCCACGGTCCAACGGTGGGATCTTCCGGGTCCGTCCGCTGAGTCTTCCGGGCTGGTAAGTTCTCCTCGAAGAGAGACACCCATTCCCGCCACAGGGTGCAGTCGACCTGTTCGCCAGGCTGGAGTCCGAGGGTCTGGCAGCCTGCAGAACAGCCCATGTTGGGATGGATCTGTGACTAGAAGGTTGAAGCCCTGCACGGCTTGAACAAAGCTCGACATGTCTCTACAATCGACTTCACGACGAGTTCCGTTTCTTCTTCTGCTTCTTCTGCTTCTTCTTCTTCTTCTGCTTCTTCTTCTTCTCCTTCTTCTTCTCTCAGAAGAATGTTCATCTACAAGAGGCATCTGCAGGGAACGCGTGGAAATGAAGTTATCCAACTAGTGGCACACTTTTTGGGGAACCTCTCAACAAACACATATTTCTGAGCAGAATTCAATCCCTTCCACTCCTGCATCGATCAGTGCCCGGGCACTTGCGGGTCTAGTTCCGTCCCTGTCGAGACAAACCCAGATTTGCACTGTTCAATTTGGTCCACCAGAAGACAAGTAGAACCACTAACATCGGTTCCGGGGAAAAAAAAGGGGGTTCAAAACCGATAACAAGTAGAACCCCAATGTTAGGTAGAACCCCAATGTTAGGTTCAAGACAAGTAGAACCCCTAACTCCATATCTCTGGCCCAAAGGGGGCTCCGGAAGGATCCGCCCGTCGAAACCGTGGGACGAGCCTCCTCCTGGTCTGTCAGCTGCTCCTGCGTGTCTTGACCCCACTGCTTTCATGATTGGCTGCAGGATCTTCCCGGTCCGGGTGTGTATGAGAATATAGGGAGACTCCCCAAAGACCTCTGGGAAAATATGAAACACACTGAATCCAGTGGTTGGGAAGTCCCCCTATTTTAAAACAATACAACCCCCCATGGTGGTCTAAAAGGTTTTCTCGACCAAAGGCATGGAAGCCTCTGAACTGCAAGCCTTGCACCTTCCTGCTGATTGCAAAAAGCGAAGGCATGGACTTCCTGCTGGAGCGAGGCGAAGGACATCTGCACGATAAGCTCCAGGATCCCCTCCATCTCCTGGAGACGCCCCGCAATGCACCGGCGGGCGGCAGCCGTCGCTCGTCCCCCCCGGTGCGCTCGCAACGGCGAGGTGGAGCACGAAACATCTCAACACAAAGCACCTGTCACCACAGAAGCCGGTGGTCAAGACTCTCCTTTTTGGAAGCACTGGGACAGGTCGCCCACTCTTCGGGGTTTCTTTGGCGCTCGCAATTCAGGACTATGTGAGAGAAACCGGACCTGCCCGTCTCACGGAAGGGGCAGGAAGGGGCCGGTTCCGGGAGGAAACTTCCCGTTGATCTTCGCCCCAGGCCTCCCTGAGCTTCTCTCTTCTCTTCGCATGTCGCAAGCGCCTAAGTAGCTCAATGATCCGGGCATGACTGCACAGTCCGATGACTGCATGACTGCCACCAACACCCACAACCAGAAAGTTGGTGTAACCATTCTACCATCTGGGTGTGTATGAAAATAGGGAGACCTCCCAGTTCGACTCCCTGGAAGAAGGGAAATTGACCAGTCCACCCATTGGTTGTGGGTCCCTATTGAAATACACACTACTAACACACCTCCAGACAGGACACCCCTTGAAGGTCCAGGCATATTCTACCTTTCTGCATTGATTCTGGATGTGAACGCGGGTGAATGGAGGTGAGACGAACCCCCACGCTCCGCTCATGCAGACTCCCGCGTGGGCGCTTCTGGGGCGCCTCTGGCTTCTTGGGCTGAAGTCTAGCACCAACCACCACAAGACAGCAAGTCACCCACCAAAAGCCGGCACAAAAGGCACCACGGGTCGAAAAGCCTTGAGTGCCAGGCTAAAACTTGGAACAGAACTCATTCGAAGAGCACTGGTGCCTTCATTCGGATGATCACTTGCACTCAAGACAGCACCCCGTAAACACATTACACGACCCTGGACACGACCGATGATCACTTGCTTCGCTCATTGTTTCTGCCACGTGAGTGGAGACAGCATCTTGTTGAATCCCCACAGGGTTGAAGAGTTTCGACGGAAATCCACGGATCTACCCCCAGCCCCTCTTTCTTCCAGTGCTTTTTCCCGTTTCTCCTTGGTTCCAGTCGTTTTGGTTCATCTCGTAGCCTGCCTTTATGTGAGCCAAAGGAAATGTCCACAACCATCCCCCCACACCCGGAGACGACTACGGCGGTCCGGTCGGCCGCCCTTCAGGGGCGCCCGAACTCGACGGCACGGTAGCGCACACGCTCCCGCTCCTGGCAGCGCGGCGGAGAGAAGACCAGGGGAATGTGTCCAGGTCCAACCAATCAGGATAGATTAGAACAAAATGCCACGGGAACACCTTTGGTTCACCGAAAATGGAACCAATGTCTTGCAGCCTTACATAGGAAGTGTTTACATCTCATAAAACCTCATCTCCCTGCAACCTTCCTGCGGCCGAGTGGATCCCTCTCATCTCCTCTTGCTCTCTGAGGGATTCGATCATCTCCTCCCACAGGTCCTGGCGTCATCTGAATCCGAGTCCAACGCACAAGTCCGACCAGTCCCAGTCCTAGTCCCACGCATAGGGCGGCGGGAGCTACCGGTGTCAGGGCAAAACAGAGAAATTGCCCAACCCCTGGAAGTCAAGTCGACCATTTCTTAAAATGGTTGATCTGGTTTTGTAGTGTAAAACCCTTAGTAAAACCATGGTGGTTCGACTTCTAGGGCAACAGTCGAAACCATGGTGCGGTAGCTTCGTCAGGTTCGCTTCGTTCGACCCACTGCCCCCAAGCGATCTGGTTCGTCCGGACGAAGGGTTCGTGTTCGCCGGTCTTGAAAGGTCTTTCTTTCTGAACGCACTCCCCCAACCGCCAAAAGAGGATGTGTGTTGGGACACCATGCACAAGCTTTTTTGCATCGACAAAGGGGTGAGATCCTTGCTGGAAACACTTCCAGAAACTGGCCCTTCTTGACGGCACAGTTTGCTCGAAAACACCCGTTTGGGTCTGCACGCGAGAAAAGCTCGCGGCGACAAGAAGAGGAGCTGATTTTTGAGACAAGAGACAAGAGCCCTAGGTGATCCATGCTTCGGTGTCGCTGCACTCTGACGAACACATCACGAAGTGGAAAATGGTCACTTGGGAGACTACTGTCCTCTACAAACACGTGGTTTTCCACTTCCATGTGATGTGTTCGTCAGAGTGTACAAAGTTTGAAGATGTTCAGAGTAAATTGGCACTTTACCAAGATCGGATCACTTCAGGTCAGGCTTCGGAAGCCCACAGGTGCGCCACATACTCTCCACTAATCACTGAGTGTGTGTGTGTATATCTAGATCTATCGTTGTTGGTCAGAATTATCATATCACAACATGGCCCCTAGAAGTCCAAAGACTATACTTTGACCGACTGAAGTAAAGGACATTCCTAGACTCGTGTCGCCTAAAGACCATTCTTTTTATAGTCTTTGACTCCCAGGGTGGCGGAGTCCAAAGTCCTTTGCACCACCATCTCGTCCTGTGGATCGACGAAGCCGATTTTGCAGACCCAACACGAAACCAGCCGCTCTGGACGAAAACCAGCCAAACCATGGGATCCATCCCATCAAAGGGGGGGGAACCAGAAACAGTGGCGTCCGAAAACAGATCCCAGGCACTCCGGTTCCGGTCACGGTCGTCTTGACCGATTCACGTCCTGGTCTCGCTTCAAGGCCTCGGCCAGCCGTGGGTTCCCGAAGGGAGGTCCGTGAGGCCCAGCGGGAGCCGGTCCGGTGATCTGGCCACTGCAAAGCAAGCAAAAAGGGGAGGGATGCACATGGAGGAAACATGTGGTTTTCTTTTCAAACACACCATTTTTAAGACCAGATTCAAACACCCAGGTTCTTCTTCGATATACATACCAGTGGAAGTACGAAAGGACTATGTGCGGTTGTTGAGGCTCTCCACGTTGTGTAGGGGCAATCGTACTACACTAGTTGCCATCCCTCGCTGGAAGAAAAGAGGTTTCGCAGCGAAAGAGAAGGGCCAAGCAGCAAATGGGGCCAGCGAGTTGAGAGTCAGACAAAGCACTGAAGTTCGAACAGAGTGTTAAGCTCAGAACACAGGGAGTAACGTGTGAAGCAGAGGAGCGATTCTCCGTGACTCCTCGTGTTGTGATTTCATCTCCCATAATCCCTGGACGTTCCTATGTTCCACAGTCAAACAAATCAAGACACTCCCAATCAAATTCATCTTGTCCGGGCCTATGCCACAAATTTGAATCGCATCTTTTTCCACAGGGAGTCCTTTTTGACAGTGTGTCCGTTGTGTGCTAAGTTTCAAGCCGCCTATATAAGCCGTAACCCTCCAAACCAGGGACAGAGATACAAACCATTCTTCGAAAGAGTCCCACGAAGTCCTTCTCTCGAAAAAGCCCGGCCTCCTCTTTGTCGGCCCGCTTCTGCGCGATGTACTGTTGCTGTCGCGCCTGCCGGTTCCTGGCGTCAAGATTGAGAAGCCCCAGGTTCCTGGTCCACTGTCTTAAGTATCAAAAGTTAGATTACTAACCATATAATATAGACTATTAACATCTATTAACTATTTAGCAGTCTATTGTTAACTGTCTATTACCAACCATATAAAATATCCCTCTATTATGAATAGACCATTAACCTTATTACGAGATTCCTATAACGAAAAAGACGTGGTGCAAATTCACCGCCCAGCTGGTGGTTCTCAACCGGCGGCGGAAAAAATGGCGGAAAAAACTGGTAAACCAATGGTTCTCTCTCCCTCTCTCTCTCTCTCTAAACTCCTTTTGGTCCTCACAAGCAGACGAGGAAATGAGAACCACATGTGGGTCCGAACATGTTCCAAGCGAATCCACAGATCCTACTTACACATGTGTTCCTGTTACTCGTCACAGAGTCTTCTTGGACCCATAGCAAGGATCCCAGTCTAATCACCGCTGCTTTCGCCGGTTGCCAAAAACCTCTATATCTCACTTTTCACCCTCCTTTGATCTCTTGTGGGACATCGTCTCTCGTCGAAGGGACAGCTCGCGGCTAAACGCTCGAAGAGCGCGACGACCCGAATCAGCCTGACAAAGACCTCCTCGAACATGTTCACCCGCCAGCTGCGATAGCTGATGGCGCTCTCCTGGAAAAAGCGCTGAATGGATCGCCGCGGTGTGGTGTTTTGGGGCTCCAGCAGTCAAGCAGTCACCGGTGATTGTGAACCTCGAAGGGACACGACAACACCACCAAGTCATCCTTCTTCAATGAAAGAAGTAGAGAAAGAGTCTAACATGTCGAAGCAAGATCCCCAACATCACCTGGTGTTACCCAAGAACCCACGTCTTGAGGGGTATTTTGGTCTTCATCTCTTCATCGGAAAAAAAAAAAAAAAACATCGTCTCCAAGCCGGGGACACCCGCCCCGGTCCCAAACCGCCGCAGCGTCGGTGGTCGCCCCGTCACCCGAGCGCAGATGGGGGGTCCAAAGAGGTCTCAGTGCCCAGGCAAAGCACGAGTACTAAGAAACCCAGGGGCGACCCCAGAGTCTATGGTGTGAGTCGTTGCCTGGAACCACTCCAGCGACGAGCACGGGGAGCTGCCTGGATGCCCTGGGTTTGATATGGGGGTCCATCATTGCACCGGTGGAACCCGCCATCGAACCTCTGAAACCACTATCATGTCTACAAGAAGAAACATCCAGAGCACTCATATATGTACCACAAGATCAAAAGGCATCTTCTTATGGAACCCCCTTCAGCCAAAACGGACCAGATTGGATCAAGTAGATGATGCAACTGGCAAAGGGTCGCGAATATTTGGCCGGTCACCAAACAGAACACCCCACGCACGCTGGCGTCAGGCCTGGTCAGGATGTAAAACTAAGCACTGCCCAGTCACGCCCTCAACTTCACCGGGTGGGGATCCGGAAAAACAGAAACCGCGGGACTCGCCGCAGTCCTCGATGGACTCGCGGCCCAGCTTTTCCAGAAGCACCTGACGCGGATTTTCGCGCAGAAAGGAGCAAAGGAGGAAGTGGACCAGGGCTGCTTTTCGGGTTGTGAATTACATGTTCCACCTCAACTTCTTTCCGAGCCTGCAGCAGGCAGTGGTCCTTTTTTGCCTGCGAAACGTTGGAATTCTTATCTCCAAAATCGATTGCCCAACACCCTCCTCCATCACCCTAAACCCTAAACCCGGACAAAAAAACGATCCACAGAATCAAGCTCACAAACCAGCGGCCCGAATTTCCATGCTCAACACCCCCCCCCCCATGTTCTGCCGGCCCTTCTTCGTTATGAAAAACCACCACATGGCACCACCTGGAGACCTCTGCGAGGTCCTTTAAAGGTCAAAAACGCCATGAACCTGCTCGACCACTGCTCAACATGCTTCCGCGGTGACCCGGACCTGCTCCAGTTGATTCTCCTCGAGCATCTCCTGAAGTTGGCGGTCTCCGGCAAAAATGGGCAGGGGAGTTCGAAGGTGTGGATCGGACATGAATCTTAAATATCGCAGTGAATACCTTTGAATTTCCTAACTTTTTGTCTATTTGAATTCCATTCCATAAATTTCGACCAGTGTGTTCATGTGCTTGGTGTGACCTACCCCACACAAATTCCAGAATTGCCACTTGAAACCTGAGACGAATTGCAAGATACGCTTCGTCGCTATCTTACGTCCAGCCGCCTGATACACACCATAATTTCAATTTAAGTGCTCGCGGCATCTCGCGGCATCAGATACCATCCAGCGCGACAATTCATGTCTTGCACAGGTGAAATGGATCCTGCGTTCGGTAGATGGATTCTGTACCAAACCCGATAGGAGTGGTGCAGAAAGAGCGAGACACGCCGAATCAGGTGGGATGGGTGAAGAGTTTGTCTGGTGAAAACTGATGTCCGTCCTTTTCCTAGAGTTGTTTTAAGGGAGAATGTACAGTTAACCACAGTTTTGGGAGTTACAACCATGGTTTCCTGCAGATGTTCCCCCAAACCCATTCATTGATTTGTTTGGGGTTCGGAGTGGGGTTCGGGTGGGATACAGCAGCAGGTTTCCGGGATGCGGGGTGTCGTCACCAGAGTTCCCAATGTTTGACGCACCACTCAGACTGAAGGCCTCCGAATCTCTCACAAGCGTTTAGAGCGGCTTAGGCATCTTCTTCGGCTTCTTCTTCTTCCTCTTCCTCTTCCTCTTCTTCTTCTTATTATTCTTCTTCTTCCTCCTCTTCCTCTTCCTCTTCCTCTTCCTCTTCCTCTTCTTCTTCTTCTTCTTCTTCCTCTTCCTCTTCTTCTTCTTCTTCTTTTTCTTCTTCTATATATATGGGTGTGTATTGAAATAGGGAGATAGACACATTGGGGAACTGCACTCAAATAAGCATATGACATCATGAAAAAAAAACAATCCCTCAGCATCTCAGCATGAACTTCATCGCCTGAAACAAACAGCTATCTTTTCATACCTATATACATATATATACCTTCCAACATCTTCCAACTATGCACAATTTCCACCTTTTTGGCTGGCTTTACACATGAAACGGCAGAAATGTTGCACAGTTGGAAGATCTATAGGTATGTCTTTTCCTGATGTCCGGCCACCAATCACAGAACACAACAATCCCCACCCATGCACTCCCACCTATGGGCGCCACCTTAACCAAGTCAAACCGAACCAACCCTTTACTTTCCTCGCTTTTGTGAGCCTCCTCCCTTGACCCCCATTCCCACGCGCCAAAGAAGAGAACTCACGCAGGACGTTCATCTCCTGCTCGCGCTGCTGTTCCACCAGCACTCGGCGGCGCCGCCGCTCCCGCTCCCGGCGCGCGATGGCGCCAGCCTCCTTAGACTCCTTGCAGAGACGTCCCGCGGTCCGCGAGCGAGACGCGGAGCGTCGAAACTGCCGGGCCACGCGTGCCACGGGGCCACTAGCACGTGGTCACGGTCGCCGGAGCATGTCGCCAAGACCGCTGGGACACTCAGAGAATATACCAGGACCCTCCAAGGGGTGTCTATTTGTAGGCCCTTAGCCGTTAAGGGGCCACCCCTTGACAACTCAACACCTCTTTCGGAGATCTCAACTGAGCAGTCCGATCTTTTGTTCGACTTCAATGGCTGGGTTTGAGTCGGCGGTTCCGGAAAACGAACGCCTTCTGTTTGGAGAAACACTCGGATCGGAAAGGACCAAAGGACACGAATCGCCGAAAAGGACCCGTGCTGATCCACCCCTAAAAGCAGTTTGAAAGGGTGAACATATATAAAGTGAACCCATATACCCTAAAGGTCCAGTCAACAAAAATAGAACGGTTGAGGAAAGATGACCCAAGTCTAGGAATTTCACTTTACTTCGGTGGTGCCAAATATGGTCGAACTGAACTTCAGAGTGGACTTCTTTTTCCTTTTGCAGCCTTGGTGTTGCTTTGTGATTGAGCTTTTGGTCTTACTCTTGAAGGGTCACCTTGTTGGGGCGGTGTTTTGGGTGACAACGCCAAGGACACTGCTGTCGTGCAGACGTCATCTAGCAGTGTCCGACGGAATGGAACTGAGACCTTTGCCATGCCCTTTTATGGTGAACATTGTGCTTTAACAAAAGGATTCTCCGCCTCTCTGCGCATTGGCCCTTGACACCAAAATAGATCTAAATATACTTCGTTGGGTCAGGTGTTGCCGGCCGCATTCTTTTTTTTTTCAACAGACTGAAGAGACCATCGTAATCTCCCATCAGATCAGACCTAGAACCTACTTGTCCCTGTTTTGATAGGAAGTTTGACAACATGTTGGATGGTTGGTGGTCCAGAATAGAGGTTACTCAGTTTGGGATGGTTGGTGGTCCAGAATAGAGGTTACTCAGTTTCCAGGTGTCTGAAGCAAAAGATAAAAACGTAACTCCTTGATCTTTCGCATGAAGAGGTTGGCCTCGTAGTTCAGCTCCTGCCACGTGAACGGGTTTCCCGCGGGCCCAAGGGCCAAGGGCCGAAGGTGCTTTCGCTATGACCGCAGTGAACGTTGTATACTATCGTTGTATCTAGAGAGAGAGAGAGAGAAGATGGGTTGGAAGTTGCTCCCGGGCTCCCTAGATAGTATGACTAGTAGCTTCTTGCTCCTAGTAGCGATGGCCTCCAAACTACTTGCAATGGCCTCCACCTAATAGCGTCCTTAAAGATATTCTTTGACAACGGAAAATGGTGAGAACAAGGATCAACAACTTGCGCTTGCAGTTCAGAGAGCTTCCTGTGGTTTCGGCCAAGAGGATCATCCTTTTGCGGCCAGCAAACAGTAGGTTTTTCATGTCGGCGCGTGCATGGCCGCCGATGCTCTCATGCAAACCATCTCGCAACGCAGATTTCATAGGCTCCCTGTCATAGATAGAAGTTCGTAGATCCCCACGTAGAAAATGTATTGGAAACCGTGCCACTATCTATTTGGGGACCACTATATCTCAGCAATCTAACTATAGATACAAGACCACGTCACCACAATACCCGAAATCGCCCCAGGGGCCTACAGCTAAGCATTCCAGTTTCAAGAAGTTTCTGTTCACATTTTTCACTCCACCCTCCGTTTTTTGACCTTCACATCTTGCAGTTCCAGCTTCAACAGCACACCAAAAATACAAACCTGCCCGCGTGCGCGACCGCGCCCGCGACCACGCCCGCGGCCTGACCGGTCGGCAGCTTGGCTTGAAGCGCCTCGACCAGTTCCTTGGCGCTGGCGACCTTCGAGGTCTGGGCCAACAGCCTCGGTCAACGGGACGGACATGCCAGGGGTCGATCGAGGCAGGTTCCGCTGAGAACGGCGGCGGGTTGAGGCTTCAGGGCGGGGTTCAGGTGGTTTCAGGGGAGGTGGGGAGGTGGGGAGGGGAGTTGCTTGGTTGGGAACCAAGACCTCCCCACCAACCTCCCACCTCCCCTCAACTGATGCTTTTCAGGTGGTCTGTGGGATATCGAATATCTTGGCAACGAACCCTGATGTACCAAAGTTCTCCAAAGGGACCATGATCAGACCGCCGGCTCGGTCTTTCGGTCTTCCCAATGGTGTTCGGTGTCTTTTTCGCGCGCGAAATCGCACGGGGGTCGAAATCGGGGCGCGTTCGGACAGGAGATCTGCCGGGATTCGGCCGTCGGCACCCACCCGTCGTAAGGCTGGAGCATTGCTGAGGGTGGTGTTTGATGTTCTTGATGTCCTTTCTTCCCCAACAAACCGCGCTCAAAGAGCTGCGCTGTGTTTGGTGTTTCCATGGCAAGTCAATTCAAGAACCCTTGAATCTTCGTCAGCTTTCTTCTTTGGCGGAACCGGTGAAACCGGTGGTCTTTGTGTGTCGTCCAGTCGTCATGCTCTGCTGAGCGTGTCACGCCGACGTTGTCTCTCGGGCGCCGAGTCGCTTCTCCACGGAGTCCGTCTCCTCCCTGAAGGGAGAAGAAGCAGACTTGGAACAAGAGAACGGTCTAAAGGTCTGTGGGTCTTTTGAAGAAACAAAAGAGCTGAGAATCAGCTTGGCTTTTTAAGAAGGGTCCTTCTCTTCCGACTTGTGACTGGCTTTTGTCCTGATTCTATCATTTGGGAGGTTGCTGCACCATCTGTATAGAACTACTAGGCTTTCACTGTTCTTTCTGCTGGAACCTCTAGATCTCCTCAGATTCCTTTGGGTGAGCGGGAGGCTTGCCTGCCATTTGGTGACGTCATGGCACCAGAACTCACCCCCGGTAGGTTGACCAGACTGTCGTTCCGGTGCCAGGGACCCACAGCCACCACTTCAGCGGCTTAACCCTGATGGTACGAAGCCCTGGTTGCGGGCTGGGACTTCTCCAAGGCGGAGGCATTCGAGGGTCGACAGGCAGAGGTGGAACTGTGCATGGCATTTCAGCAGAACTCATAGGACATTCAAAGTGGCCTCTTTGGAGTCTCTAAGCCTTTACGGGCTTAAGTGACCTCATCCTGGGATATCAAAAGGATTCAAAAGGTCACTTTGAAGGTCCTGGTACTTGCCATGCACTCTGGGTTGAGACTAGCCCCAAGGCAGTGACTAGGAACTGAGGGAGGGAGAGGGGGGAGACTACTCTGAACTACAGCAATGGAAGAAGAGTGACACATCTCTGCCCGATCATGTGCATTACCTACCGTAATGTTTTTCAATGTTTGTCCAGTTTCAGAGCCTCAGAAACCGGGACAAACCAGGACTCGTCCCAGTGCTCTTGATGGAAGGCCTAAACCTTGGCTTTGATGCCCCAATCTCCCCCTTTTTCAATATACCCTGTCTGTGGTCATCTAGTTATATATAACATATTGTGTCATAAATGTCCGCAAACTCATCCCCTCCATCCACCTTGAGAAGATTGAGTAGACGCTCAAAATCCCTGCAGAGAACCACTCAGCAGGCTCACAAGTTATGCCTGTGTACCCATACTTCGATTCAAGACAAATTTCACAACACTTCAACCAAGAAGCTACTTAACAAGATCAAACAAAGCGCAAGGGAACTCCCACGTCCAAAGAGATTGCAAGATGAAACCCTCATGTGTGGACATTGCCTGATACACTAGGTCCCCACCTCAGGATTTGAACAACTAAACCAACCACGCAAAGCAAAAAACATGTCAGATGCCGGAGCTGGGAAATGGCTCCGGTTCAGACCTCCGGTGGTTGTTCTGTGACAGGCTGTTCCCTCTCCCAAGCAGGAACTCGCCCGAAAAAGGACCTCACCCTAAGACTCCGGGCACCTGAACCAACCTATAGGGTTCGGACGTCCGGAGTCCGGACCCTCGACCCGTGCTCGGATTGGGAGTTCTCGGTCCGACGTCGTCAGGTGTTCAGGTGAGGCCCCCGACTCGGAGCTGTCTTCTGGGATCACATCCTGGCACCGCCCGCGTGACGCGCGGGTCGTTGTCCCACGCGGCGCGCGTCCCAGTCGTGTGGAGCACGGCCCGCCGAGCACGGCCAGTCCGACGCACCCCGCAGGTCGTGCGCAGGTCGTATGGACACGGAGCTCCGAGAGACGGCGGATGCCAATCGGTGGCATCGAATCGGATCGAAGACTGAAGAGAAAACGGAACCGACCTGCGGTGAACTGGGTGAAGCGAACTGGTCAAAGCGTGTGTCGTCTTTTAGAACTGGAACTCTTGAACTGCTTGATCACGGTACAGTAACTAGATCCACTGGGCTTGATCAGATAGTCGCGTGGCTTCCAATCTGCTTCAAGATGGATTCCAGAGGATCTGGGACTGTCATGACTGGTCATCAACAACCTTCAACGTTCTTCATCACTGGCCTTCTTGCATAAACTCTCCAATCTCCACCTCTCGCATCCTAACCAGTGAGCTTCAACTATCTCAACCTCACCTCTATTGGGCCATTGCTTGGTTCGTTTTCCGAGTTTTTGAAGGGATTCTTCAATGAGTCTTCCAAGCTCTCCCCACTTTCACCTTCGCTCGTCCTCACCCCTTTCGAACACCGACCGAACACCGAAAACGCGACAACGCCTCTCACCGGCCGTGCGCTGGAGCAGTGCCACGTGCGGTGCCACGTGCGGTGCCTCCTTGGTCTTCGTCAGGCCCAGCGTCACCAGGCCGCTCTCGAAGTCCTCCGGTCGAGCGTGGCGGCCGCTGCAGAGGGGCTGCGGCCGTGCAGTGGAGAGTTCACTTCCCATCAATCTATGTTACTCTTAGTGGCGCTGTTTTTCTTATGAATTCAACGACTGGGAGTGCTATGTGTGTCTCCGGATTTCCTACTCACAGGAAGCGTGGCGGCCCCGTGGAACCGAAGCGATGCCGGTCGGTCCAACCCCGAGTTGTTCCGCGAAGGCCCGCGAACGCCCAACGAAACAAAAATCAAAGCACACAAACTGACGCCCCAGACTTCCAAGACCGTTAAAAGACTGGGAACGACCTGGTGAAATTGTAGTGTCAAACCCTTAGTTGATTCGGTATGACCCTATTAAATTCATGGTGGGCCAGGAAGCCTAGGGTGACAGGTGCTTGGTAATGAGAGAATACGGGTGAGTGCTTGAATTAGGAAGGTCTCCGACCAATGGGTAGACTTGTCTAGTTCCCTTCGTCCAGGGTGTCGGGGTCCCTATCCCTTTGGACCCATTCCCTCAGTCCCTTCTAAGCAGTCAGCAAACTGAGGAGCTTCCTTGCTAACTACCTTCGAACAAGTGAGATGTCTTCAGTGTCTTCCTTACTGGACCAAGGACTTGTAGCACTTTGACTACTAACAATCTGGGTCCAAGGATTTCTTTGAAGAAATTGAACTGTAGTAGTGTGAGTATTTTCAAGTGAAGTTAGCTTGACTTGTGATCAGCACCCTGGAACTCCGGAACACCGAACCAATCACGCTGGTGACCCCGATCTTCACCCAGATTCGGTGGCTCCGACCGCAGTCGTTCCCCCCTGCAGTCGTGCCGGTGAGATCCCGCCTGTGTACCCTTTAAGACCTCTTCGGCCGCCTGTCGACGGAGCGTGAGCTCTTTCTCCTGGCGACCGCCGACCGCAAATCGAGTCAGAGAGCAGGCCGATGTACCGAAAAAAAACACCCACCCGGCCAAGTTCCCACACGTGCAATATGGAGGCGCTAACCGTCCCGTGCGCTGTCCGGAGGCTGCTGGACGACCGGACGACCGGAGAGACCGGAGAGACCGAGACCGCAGACCCTCGGAGGCGCTCGGACGCCACGAAACGGCACGAGCAGCTCCTGGCAGAAACGAACGCAACCAGAGGACCCATCGCTGCGAACGGAGCGTTCGGGAGTGTTACCGACACCACGAATGCCCGACACCCGACACCACGAATGCTCAAGGGTTTCAAGGGAGATCACCCAAAGCGTAGTTGCTTTAAGGGAAGACTCTGAAAGAACTGCTGACATGTTGGAGCAGGGCCTGTATGCCCTTCACCGGCAAGGAAGATCCACAGATTTGTGCCGAGCTTGACGGTTCTTTGAGTCCAACGAGCACGGTCCACTGCATGGTCCACTCAAGTACCGAGCAAGCATGCCGACGACCCCAAGCACGTGCGGGCGTTTGGGCAAGACGCACCATGCCAAGGCCTTGAGTTTGTTCAGAATACAGCTGCTCCACTCAAGAAGCTGGTCGCCAGAAGCTGCTCACCAGGAGGACTTAAGCTGAAACTCTGCAAAAACTGCGAGAGGTAGGAAAGCTATGGAAAGCAGTCCTGTTCATCTGTCTCCTCAATATCCTCTTGATCCTTTTCTTGCCCTTTTTCTAGAAGACCAAAAAATCACAAAAACACGTTGTCAAGAAGACACTCATCCCCACCACCTGTTCGCCTGCTCTTCGACTCGCTCCCACACCCGATCGGATTTCCCCGCGCCTGTTGAGTCCTCAAGACCTTGTCGGAGAAGCGCATCTGCTCGTTCTCCCTTGTCATGCGCACCTGTTTTCCGTCGGGAAGTGCGCCGGATCCCGATCCGGCAACGCCGGATCCGTCCAGTCGGTACTCTCCGGAACGGGTCACGAAGAGAAGGGTCACGAGTTCACTCACGTCGTGACACCGAAGGGACATCGAAGACACCCAAATCGCCGGAGCGATGGTTCTCGGTGAACAAGACCGTGAACCGATGATTGGGTCACTCAGCCGCCCACCTGATGACTCGGTACAAATGGAGGTGTAGGTGGTGCACCATCGTGTTCTGCCCAACTTGTTGGTATGGTCTACTTTCCGCTGGCCAAACAAAAACGAGACAAAACGATCCTTAGGTTGCGAGCTGATCCAGTCTGAACCGCTGTCCCCGAACCCACCGGACTGGTGCTTGAGTCAGGCGAGGCGATCGCTTTCCACCCAGTGAGCTCCCAGCGAGCTCTCCGTTTGGCTCCCCAAAAAGGCGCCGGAAGGGTTCAAGGGTTCGATCCAAACATCCAAAACCTGGTTCTTCAAAGAGGGACCCGAAGGGATATCGGTGCTTGCTGCCTGTCTGTCTGTCACAAGGTGCCAGCAAGGGTCAGAGAACTCCGAGGTCAACTGCTGTCGGTCCTGAGAGTCGTCCAGACCTTGATTCTCCCAGTTTGTTTGCTGTCTGTTCCTTCAATTTTGCTCGTTCGACCTATTTGAGGATGTAGACAGACCAGACGGTCTGGCCGATGTCTCAACCCACCCAAAGACGAAACGTCCGCGTTGCTCGGAACGTCGTCCCGAGGCACCCGATGGGTCTGTTAGAGCCGACGGTCTCGGACCGCGATGTGTTGGGTTCTTTTCCCTCAAATGGACTTCACTCAAGGGACTCTGCAGGGGAACCACTTAGAACAACTTTTTTCAGTTCATGGCCCTACACAAGTACCGGACACAAGTAGAGGCCATATAAGTCATGAGGCCAAATATATCGATTTTGTCCCCCTCCCTCAATTGAAAAGTGGCCTCATCTTCCTGCATGACCCAGTCAAAATGGGAAAGGTCATGTTACCCAGCCATGAACATCACATTCTGTCATGTTACCAGCCCAGTTGGGCGCTCATAGCCTCATGTGACCCCGCCTTCATGTTCTCCTGCCAGAGCTCGTGGCCTCTGGCCTCCCACTCATCCTTCGCCGCCTCGGTTTCGGGACGGTCGACCGGATGTTCCGCGAGGATCCGAGAGGCGGTGTTTTTCTCATGAAAGACGAGTCGAGTCATGGCAACTTGGGGTGATGGATCTAAAAGAAAGAAAATGCTTTGATGATGATGATGATGATGATGATGATGATGATGATGGTGATGCTGATGCTGATGATGGTGATGGTGATGGTGATGGTGGTGGTGATGATGATGGACTGATGGACCTCTTGTGATTGTATCACTATCCACAACTCAGAAATCCACACCTCTCTATGGAAGCAAGAGTTGGTATTGGCTTTCTGGATTGTCGACGCTTTGCTTCAAGAACTTGGCAGAGTTTGCTATGCTCTGTTGGCTTCTGAAGCATCGGCCTCTCGTTGCAAGCTCGCCTGCAAAATCCGGACCTCAAATTGAAAAAGGATGCGACCTGCCAAGTTGTTTGCATGTGACCCAGTTTGAGACACCCCCACACATGGAAGGCCTGAAAAAAAAAGAAACACCTCTTTCGATGCGCCTGTGCGCACCGTCCGCGGACGGGTCCGCGGACCGCGGGGTACGCGCGCGGGCTCGGGTACGCCCCGAGGCCCTCGCCCGGTTCTGCCGCAGACGCTCCCGAAGACTAAAACGATGGATCTGTCGCTGCTCCTCCACATGCGCCTCGGCCCGGTGCGGCGGCCCCGGTTCGGCGCTGGCTTCGGGATGTGTTGGGCAGCCCGGGCACCCACACCAAACACCTCAAAATGCATCAAAAGGCTACTGGCAGGCCCCAGTACTATGATATATCTCTATATGTATCTATATGTATGTTCCCACCCATCACCAGATCCCCACCATAGCAGACCCTCCCCATCTCCGACCAACCCTCAAAACACCAGCCACCCTCCCAGAAAAGGAAAGCTGGTCGGCGCCGCAGCTACGCAAACTATCCCCCCCAAAAAAGAAACCATCCCCCCACCAAAACCTCCTCCTCCAAAACCCGGCCTGTTCGATGTGATCCATCTCGAAGGCCACGATCTCCTGCTTATGCCTGGAGCCCGTCCCGCACCGTTCGAACGCTGCGTCCCGCGATGGCGGCGACATCGTCAGCCAGCCCCATTCGGAGCAAAAAAGGGACTGGGTCGGGAAGGGAAACTGGGAGATTCGAAGGCTCTACTTGGTCGAAGGGTTGGGCCTGGTTAGGGGTGATTCTACCTACATGAGCTACATGGACTCGTTTCACCGCGATGAGGGTTATATCAGGGGGTCGCTATCACACCCCGGTCTGGTCTCAGAGTTGAAACAACAGGTGTGGCCTTCCACATCAACTCAGGTCGGAGACTAAGGATTCACATCTGGTGCCGCAGCTGCCCATCCAGCCGACTGGAAGCCTGCTGTGGATGGGCTCTCGGTCCACCCCCAAACATCATGTCCAAATTGGTAGATGCAAACATGACATACTGTAAGAACTTCAGTAAGTCCTGACAGATTTCGTGAAGTCCTCTATGTTGTCCCCCCTCTGTTCAACCGACTCCAGGTCGGCGTTTCTTCAGTCCCTCACACGGTCGCGGTCGCAGCGCGGGGATACGCGCGTAGGCGTTCGTGTATACTGAGCTTCCCTGGCTTCTCTAACTCGAACTTCCGAGTGAGTTTCTCTACGCGTGCTTGTCGCACCTGCACCCACGGCGAAGCAACAGGGAGTGCCTGTTCAGTTGGTTGCAGGGTCTTGAAGATGTTGGTTGCAGGATCCTCATCGAACCCCGACTATCCCCACCCACCCATTACAGGTCCTCTGTTCTTGAGATTTGGACCCACCTGCCAGTTCTATCTGCTGCTTCTGGCTGGACACCAGGGCACATTGGCGTTGTTTGAAAGCTGTCTTAGACAACGACAAACGATGTTCCAGTTGATAGACCTTGGCATATGGACTCGTTCGGTTCCAGCCTATCCTGAGACTCCCTATAGGTCGAAGAAGAAAAGACCCACTAGTAGTCCCATCCTTGAGCTTCGTTGTGGCCCACTCCGATGTTGATGTCTCCAACACGGACCTCTAGCAGCTAGCACAAACGAGAACCTCCTCCTCATGTCACAAACATGACCCCAACTCCCCCGGTCGTTCACCGTTTGCACCCCCCACAGTCGCCACCGAAAAGACACGCACCAATTGACTCAACAAACACACTGAAATTGAGATGTCTCATTCGTGCTTCCACCTCGCAGTCAGAAAGGGTCCCAAAATGTCCCCACTAGGAGGTGCTGAAAGGCGTCGGGATGCGAGCGATCCATGGAAGTCGGGGTGCCCCTGTCACTTCCACCCACTCACTGGATGGGGTGCTCATTAAGCACCCAACTCCATGTGACCCCGAACGCAGCGTCAACGGGGTCAACTCACTCACTGGATGGGACTGGATGGGACTGGATGGGGTCAACTCACTTGTGTCCCCTCACTGGCCTAGGGACTCACTCTGTCCGAACGCAGCTCTTGCTCCAACCTCTCGTCCAACCCGCTGCGAACGAACGCGGGAGCGAACGCGGAGCGCCTTCATGGAGGCGCCGGGCCAGCCCACACTGGCCTGCGTGGCCGGGTGGTTCCGTTTGGGCCGTTCCGTTCGCCCATCCAAAGCCCGCTCAACCATCTAAGCGTGGAAGCCCTTGGAAGAAGAAACCATTGAATCATTTTGCGATCACCTTCCAACCGTGTTTTGGGGTGCTTTTCAACTGGCAAGGCCACCGGTGGCCTTAGAATGGCAGATGGCATGGCTCTGGGTTACAAGCCCGGATGGGGAGGACATTCCGCAGTAGCTTCACAAACATGTTTAGAAAATCGAATTTATTGAAAAGAAAACACAACTATATAGTATCTTACATGTCATTAAAAATCACAAGAAAAACCTGTGTTCATCGTACAGTCGAATTCTTTTTCAAGAAGTCGTTGTGGGCAAGACCAGAGCTCAAACGAGCTCAAGAGCTTTCTGGCAAAAACCATTGGGTCATCCTCTCTCCTTAACAGGCTTGAAAGGTCATCCTCTCTCCTATGTCCGCCAACTCAACCAGCCAGTCTTCCCCCCCCTCCCTCCCTCGTCGCAACCCGACCAGGCCTGCATTTCTAGAGCAGAAGCTTGGAGGGCCAGCACAGGACGCTCACTCCTCAGGTCAGCAGCGTTCACGACGCGTCGTTCGCAGGTCACGACGCAGGGTGTCACTCTATTCATTTTTTTGAATTTTTGAAGGAGGGAAAGGGCAAAGAGGACACTGGAAAGAGCAGTCGAATGGAGATATCCATGATTTGACAAAAAAAACATCGGATGTGAAGGGCCGCGTTGAAAGTGGTTTGGCTGATTGATACTCGTTACGGCAGATGGAGGAAAAGATCCTTGTGCTGGGGCGCTAGGGTCTCATACTTACTCGTCCAACTCATACTTCATCCCTTGCCTTCCCAAAAATGACCACTGATCTGTTCTTCCGATCCCCACGCCCCCAAAAACGCTTACAGTACTCCGCGTCGCCGTCGATCTCGCGGTCCTTTCGGAAGCCATTTTCAGCTGGTAGAGCAGCCTGGAGCCGACGACGTTCGCTCCGACGACGTTCGCTCCGCGCTGGGCGAGTCGGATCCCCGTTCAGTGCCACGGTGCCACGGTGCCACGGAGCGTGGGACGACGAAGTCACGGCGCGACGGACGTTCCATCGACGTCATGATGTAGAGGTGTTGAATTTGGGAGACAAGTGACAAGCGAGTCCAAAGGACCATCTTGAAAGCTCCAGTTGCTTTAAACCTTGGAGGGGTGGAGCACGTTCTTAACAGGCCAATAGGTTAGGTTTCCAAGACCATCCCAAAAGAAGGGACATGTCAACTGCCAATGTCAGCACGACCCAAACACCTCTTCCCCTTCCTGGTTTTTCCACACGCCTTCAGATCGCCCATTTACCCCCCCACCAACCTCCTCCACCCCAAGTGCTGAACGCGCCGCGCGTTTGTTTCACCGCGCGTGCGGCGTCACTCAGGTCGAGAGAGTGCCCTTGGAGCTGGCGGTGACCCCGGCCCGGCGCACATCGATGCTGACACACCTCGAAGTAGCCGGGTTTGCTGTAAAGGCCACCAGCGAAGCGGGGCCGAACCAGGGTTGGGTGGATCTTTTGTTGAAGATCCGAAGAAGAGACATCTGGAATAAGGGGATGGCAAAGGCACAATAAGGTCACTCTTCTTTGTCCCCATAGGCTGCGTGTTGTGGTTTCAGACCCATCGACCGGACAATGGGTCGGCATGTTGCGAATGGAAAATCAAACTTTTGCAGATCCAATCCGGTGCGATTGGTGCGATAAAACACCCAGCCTGAAATTCCAACCTGGTCAGTCCTTGAAACTAGTGACAAGGGCATTACTATTAGTAGCAAGAAGCTGTTAGGTTGGAGGCCATCGCTAGTAGGTTGGTGGTCATTGACTACTAGTAACAAGAAGCTACTAGTAACAATCAAACCCCAAAAATCCGCTCCTCTCAGAGAAATTCCTCGCCCAGGCGCTGCTTCAACGCGGCACCCATAGCCTCCACGGTTGGACCGTGGGAGAGACCGTGGATCTGGACCACCGGAGGCAGATCTCAAGACGCCCCCACCAAATATATCGAAAATATGAAGACCAGGAGTCACAAGACGGAGTGATCAACTAATGGCGGAAGTCGCTGTGCCCCTGTCACTTCCACCCACTCACGACTGGATGGGGTGCCCATTAACCACCCAACTCCATGTGACCCCTGGTGAATAGTTCTTCGGAACCTTTCTTTCACACGGTCTTCTTGCTCTCTTCGGGAGCCACGAAGGTGGATCAGCAAGCGTCCGAAGGTGTCCTCCATCTGAAAAAGCCATCCATCCGGTGGACACCAAAGCACCTTCATGTTGAATCCCAAAACAAGAACGCACCCAAACAAACCGTTGGATCTTAGAAAAAGTCTGTTCATGTGTCACGGTCCCAACTGAAGGGATTCTTGTACCTTGGCAGTACATCATCACCCCCACAAGGGTTGTGACCGGGATGGTGACTGCTAGCTAAAGTGACCGGTCAGTTGGAACATGCCAACAGAACCAGAGTATCAGGGGATGTGAACTGCTACAAACAACTCGGGAAGAGAAAGATGGAAGATCTTGCAATGGCATTTCTGATATTTCTGACTCCTTTTTGCTGCACGTAGGATGTTAACTCGAGTTGAAAAGGTCTGCCAGCTCTCCAAAAAGACTTCCCGACATGTGCACATCCACCAAAAGCACGAAAAGCAAAGCCCCACCAAACCAGCTAGTACCAGGACCTTCCAAGAGGTGGTTTTTGGACAGCCTAACCACTAAGAGGCTATTTATAGACACCTCTTGGTGTCGGTCCTGGTAAAGGAAGAAATGACTTCATCTCACCTCCGCCGCCGCCAGGGCCAGGTCCAATGCGCAGGGCGAGACGGCGCCCTCGGGTCGCACCTGCGATGGGCGGTGCATCGCCCCTGATCCATCTCCCCAAGCAGTCGCTCCATGGAGTGTGTATACTGTAGGCTTCCAACAACCACCATGAATTTAATAGGGTCATACCGAATCAACTAAGGATTGTACACTACCAAAAACCAATTCAACCATTGTTTTAATGGTCCAACGGAAGTCTAGGGTATATGAAATAGGGAGAGGCCCCCTGGCCCGGGCTGGGTTGACCGGTCTAGTTCCCTTTTTGCGGGGGGGGGTCAAGCTGGGAGGTCGAGCTGGGATGATCTGGGCTTTTGGGGCCTTTTCCCTACGCTGTGGATTGGTCCGAGATCTTGTCCGTCCAAAGACGGACAAAAAAAAAACCACCCGCGTGTCGTGCAGGCATCTCAGGGGCCACCGGCACTCTTCCTGGCTACCCTAAAGTATAGATTGGATCCAAGAAGAGGCAAAGGAGGAGAGATGAAGAGAGGGAAAACAAAGGAATATGCGCCAAATGCACATGCACCCCACGGTCGATTGCTCAAGCTCTGCGGTGCCTGCACCAAGTGGACGGTCATGGCCGCATTCACCACCTTGGGCGGTTGCGGCGGTCGCAGCACCGGCGACGGCACACGCGCGCTGCCGTCGAACGACCCTTTAGGGCACAACTGGACGATCAACTGTGCACAGTCTTTGTTTCTAGTAGCGTCCTTTGCTCCGTTCGTAGCGATGCCAGGAGCCCCGAGTATATAGCTTCTTGTGCACAGGGATGTGGTAATCCCACAGGGATATGAGTTCCCGATCGAAAGCACTGCGACAAAGAGTTCTTCTCTCTTTGACACCTTGCTTTTCTCGCAGCTACTGGTGCGATTGAAACAAGCAGACTTGCTAGGGACTCGATCGCTGGGAACTTCTGCGATCCTTCTGCGATCCGCCATGGCACAAAGGACTCGAACGCGTGGTGCAACATCCTCGGGCGGATGGGTCGACGGTGTGTGGGACGGCACGGGTACCGGCTTCGTACCGAACGCAGGCGGGGTGGAGCGTGGGACGGGGCGAACCACGAAGCAGCAACAAAGTGAGCATCAAGCATCTAGTAGCGATGCACTTGTTTCTAGTAGCTTCTTGCTACTAGTAGTAATGCCCT